TTCCTTCTTTTTTTTTTCTTTTTTATTCTGGGCCAGCTTTAGCTTTGAGGCTTGGCTCCAGCTCTTAGGCCTCCGCTGCTAAAAGTAGGTTTCTGGCCTTTGCTTACAATGTTGCGATCCTGCTGGCTGAAGCCCGTGGACTAAAGCAGGTTTCTGGGGTTTTGTTTAGCTTCTATATTTGTTACAGAGTGCTTAGAGTTGCAGCTCAGAGGCCTGCAGCGGCAGGCGGGGAACGTTGGAGTCCTCCATCCCTGAAGCAAGCAAGCCTCATGTTAGTTTCAAGCTGCCTGGCTGCCGGCCGCCATCTTGGCTGGCAGTTAATTTGCATATCGCCCTGATTAGCCAATGGGAAGGGTAGCGGTCGTACGCCAATTACCAGGTTTCTCTTTTATTAGATAGGACTAGAGATCCAGCATGCGAAATCACAGCGGTCGTTATGGCCACAGGCCTTTTATAATATGGACTAGAGGCCCAATGCACGAAATTCGTGCAAGGGGCTCAGTCCTCACAGCCGAGGTGGCTTGCCTCGGACCTCGCAGCCCCAGCTTCATCCGGAATGTCGTTCAGCTGTCCAGTCTAATTAGCATCATTACGCTTTCATTATTATAGATAGATTATAATCTATTCATATGCAAAGTTATTATTTTAATCCTTTAACTTTCAACTTTAATAAATCTAGCAATCACTCATATATAATATTATAGTTTTAAAATATAAATCACCTAAGTATGGCTCATTACCAAAGTTCCAAATGACATATTTATTTATTTATTTTTTTATTAAATATATTTTATTGATTTTTGACAGAGAAGAAGGGAGAGGGATAGTTAGAAACATCGATGAGAGAGAAACATCGATCAGCTGCCTCCTGCGCGCCCCCCAGTCTTTTAGTTTCTATGTGTGCTCCAACCATGCTCCCCCATTTTCCTATCAATTACATGCACTCCCTATCTCTCCCTTTTCTTTTTTATTTTTTTTAATATTTTTTACAGAGAGGGGGAGAGAGATAGTTAGAAACATCGATGGGAGAGAAACATTGATCAGCCGCCTCCTGCACATCTCCTACTGTGGATTTGCCCACAACCCAGGTACATGCCCTTGACCGGAATCGAACCTGGGACCTTTCAGTCCTCAGGCCGACGCTCTATCCACTGAGCCAAACCGGTTTCAGCCCAAATGACATATTTAAACTTAAGAAGTTAATATGAATAGCCATCACTGATTTACAGCACACCAATTCCAAACAAACAGGGAACATTGCCTAGCCCATAATAGGTGCATAAATATTTGCCAGTGAATAACTTGCTTAGTCAACCTTCTCCTCTCACCACCTCCTGCTGCTTACCGGCTGATTGCCCCTTATTCCTGGTAGCTGGGGTTCCAAGAACATGAATGTAGTACTTTTAATAGGATGTCAAATCATAGGCCACCTGAATTATCAATGTGAAGTTAGAGTATAGTAGTGTTCTTTAAGACATTAATTACTTTTCACACTTAAGAGACAATGTAAATGTCTATAATAGAAATAAAATGTATTTCAATTTCTAAACCTTATTAAAAATTACACTTACCTTTCCACAATCCATTCTGGCCGAATTACTTTTTCCCCCTTCAATTCTTTTATTTTGGCAGTAGGAAGATTTGTGGCAATAATGTGTGTTGTTTTGGACCTGGAATAATACACATGGTACTGTCCTCCATGCAACATCATTAGCTTTCTCAATTCCTCAGCAGAAGGGTCTGTAAAGTTAATATTAAAATATATTATGAGGTTTATATATAAGAAAGTAGAGTCCTAGCTGAATAATCCCTAGAACAAGCCATTCAGAGAGTATATGACTGGTTCACTTTCTCCTTGGCTGTGTTGCCAGTAAACAAAATTGGGAGGTAAATCACAAAGTGATAAAGCTATTTTGCCTTAGCACATCCTCATCCCCTCGTTGCTAGAGACGGTCAATCAACACAAAAACATCTACTGCTAAGAGGTGCCTAGAAGAGCAAATAGGAACCTCACGTAATGAATCAAATAATAATAATAGAGCAAATATTTTTAAACTTTTGATCACATTTAGCTGTATGACCTTGATATTGGTATCTTTTGTTTTTTAAAAAACTGACAACTATAAAGTCATGTATGAATCAGTTTACAGAGATTCCAATTAATCTTACAGCTCTTTCAGAACACAGCAGGTCCTCGAATAGCAACATTTTGTTATTGCATTAATGAGATGCCATGGGAACTGAAATTTCATTTATATCAATCAGCACATTATAAAATTGGTTATATGTCATTTCACTGAAAGTCAACAGAACCTATTGATTACATTCAGTGATGACTTACTACAATACTACAGTCAGAAGTCCACCTATACAGAAGATAATTTAAACACTGCAGACCGAGAAACAGTGCATATTTTTCAACTGTTTCAAAATATTTTATTCTCAATACAACTATTAAAAATATCTTAAAACAAAAATCAATGTAGTTTATGTTTTCCCATTAAAAAAATGTCTGACTCATTACAGTCTGTTATAGTGGGCATTTAATACTAGCAATTAAACTAATTGTTTTCAATAGCTTTTCTATTTCTTTCACCTATTATCCTAATGAAAGCTCTAAATCACACCTCCCCTAGCAACAGCTGTGTCCCGGGTGGTGGTGTGTAGGGGAGTGCGGGGCGGGAATGGGGGTTGGGGGGAGAGTCACAGGAGGCGTATGTATCTACTTTTTTGTTCAGGCAACAGATTTTCCATAAGCCCAAACAATATAGGTCCAAGTATTTAGATGAACACCTTTCTTTTAAAAAAAATAAATATATATATATGTATTTATTGATTTCAGAGAGGAAGGGAGAGGGAGAGATAGAAACATCAGCCTAACCGGTTTGGCTCAGTGGATAGAGCGTCGGCCTGCGGACTCAAAGGTCCCAGGTTTGATTCCGGTCAAGGGCATGTACCTTGGTTGTGGGCACATCCCCAGTAGGGAGTGTGCAGGAGACAGCTGATTGATGTCTCTCTCTCACTGATGTTTCTAACTCTCTATTCCTCTCCCTTCCTCTCTGTAAAAAAATCAAAATATTTTTTAAAAAAAGAAACATCAAATGATGAGAGAGAATCATTGATCAGTTGCCTCCTGCACTCCCCCCCACCGGGGAACAAGCCCACAACCCAGGCATGTGCCCTTGACCAGAATCGAACTCGGGACCCTTCAGTCCACAGGGGAACACTCTATCCACCGAGCCAAACCCACCAGGGTTAGATGAAGACTTTTATTATAACTATCTAATTAGATGAGTTTTAGACTTGAGAAAAATTTAAAAACTAAAAAAGCAAATACAGATATGCCAGGTTTAATTCATGGTAAATTCTACTGTGTAGAATTCATTTGATGTTACTGACCACACATATTGACATTGCCTGATAAGTGCAAGCCACATATATTAAGATTTTTAAAATACACACACACACACACACACACACACACACACATATATATTTTAGTACCCTCAGTAAAATCATTTAATCATTTTAATAATACTCAATTTAACCCAATAGTTCCAAAACATTATCACTTCACTGTGTAATCAATATAAAAAATTGGGATGTTTTATATTTTTTTCATACTGAGCCTCCAGAATCAAGTGTACACTTTCTATTTACAGCACATCTCAATTTAGACTAACCTCATTTCAAGTATTGTTTTTTTTAAAACAATATATTTTATTGATTTTTTTTTTTTTTTTTACAGAGAGGAAGGGAGAGGGATAGAGAGTTAGAAACAATGATGAGAGAGAAACATTGATCAGCTGCCTCCTGCACACTCCCTACTGGGGATGTGCCCGCAACCAAAGTACATGACCTTGACCAAATTGAACCTGGGACCCTTCGATCCGTAGGCCGATGCTCTAACCATTAAGCCAAACCGGTTAGGGCTATTTCAAGTGTTTAAAACATGTGGCTAAAGGCTACCAAATTGGACACTGCACTAGAAAAATAAATGAGAACAATGTTTAAATAAAATTAGTTCAAAATTCATAATCGAAGATTTTCAGGGGTTGGGATCACAAAAACCAAGCTAGAGGATGACAATGATTTAATGAAAAATGGTGAAAATTAAGTAGCTCATCAGTCAGAAATTAATAGTTTACTTGGTTTTTTCCCCTAAGATCAAAGAATTTGGCTCACCTTATTAATACCAAATTCAAGGATAGATAAAATGCACTTATATGGACAGACACCAAATCCAATAAAAAGCACAGAAATGTAAAAAAATCTTCTTACAAATTAATCTATACTTTTTCTAAACCAACTGTATTAAATGACAGAAACAGCAGGGGGTTGCCGGAACACATTGTCTTTGCATACACATGCTTGAAACACACTCTTCCCTCTACTAGTTGCTCTTTGAAATCTAATTACTACATTAATTTGGAACTGGAAAACCTGGAGAGTTCATTGTCCTTGTTTTTTTCATTGTTCTTTTATGGGATGAAGTTAAGGGGGCTCTTAAAGTTCAATTTTGAAGACTCTCAAATATTCTTCAGTGTGAGTGAGCCATGAAACCAATCTATTAAAGGTAAGTGCACATAAACTATGTGACCTGGGCTTACCCTTGGCTTTAACATGCTTTATTGTGTGACTCTGGACAAGTACTAGACTCCTTTAAGCTTTCTCCCTTTTCTTTAAAAATAAACAAGGAAGGCCATAATGATGAATTAAGTCTGGCACATAGGAAATACTCAATATAAAAACTGCTATTATTATAAAGTATGAAGACATCAGAACTCCTTTCAAGTAATGTATATGCCTTGAGATTCTTGCCCTAAACTCTACAAAAAATGGTGGAAGGAGACAATACATATGCTGACAAATGGTGGCTCGAACTTGCAAACAAAACTGGAACTACCCATAGTGCACAATGGACAGCAGCCAGGAACCACTCCATCAACCCAAACAGCCTGATATGCAGCTGGTGGCCAACCTCATTATGATTGTTTTTTGAAACTTTTAAAATAGTATTTCTCTTTGACTCTCTTTCTTCAGCAACCGAACATAGTCCCAAATTATAAGTTCAAAAGAATATAAATAATAGCTCTAAACATTTGCATAATAAATTTAACACCCTTCTTTAATTCAGCAGATGTATGTTAGAGAAAAATGTTTGAGATAGTATTGAACAGTATGAAATCTATATGACACTAAAAGTTGTGTGACGGCCAGGCCGGTGTGGCTCAGTGATTGAGAGTCGACCTCTGAACCACAAAGTCACAGTTCGATTCCCAGTCAGGGCACATGCCCAGGTTGCGGGCTCGATGTGCAGAAGGTAGCTGATCAATGATTTTCTCTAATGATTAATGTTTCTATCTCTTTCCATTTCCTTTCCTCCCCGAAATAAAAAAAAAAATTTTTTTAAGTTGTGTGACATACTCAAGGGACCCTATCCCTGTAATCTACTACACCAGTTACTTTTCTTCATAGTACTGATAATCTAAAATTACCTTGTCTATTCATTTACTTATTGTCAGATTTCACCCCAGAACATATGCTCCTTGAGGACAGGAACCTTGTCTGTCTTACTTCCAAGTATCTGGCACAAAGGAGGTGCTCAGTAAGTATCTATTGAATTCACTGAGATCCACAATGCTTCACAGACTCTCCCCTGAAATATTCACTCAGTCTCTTAACCCCTAGAGTGCCGGGGAGTGCGATCACACTCCTCCTGTCTTTCACCAAAAATGCCGGGAACACTATCGCACTCCTCCTGCAGTGTTACTATTAGATGCTAGTAGTTTACTCTTTATTGACAGATGGCACCTAAGTGCAGATTACTTATGATGCCGAATGTTTGTAATTCTAAAATTGACCACTGGCATTTATCTGCCTAATTTTTTACAGGTACTACGATTTTATGAAGTTTACTCAGATTTTGTAGTCCTAAAGCTTCGAAATGGCATCCAGTTCTAACTCTGCTTTTATTAGTGATGATGATATTGCTAAGTATGTCAATTCTGGCTGTGAAAATGATGATTTTGTGGAAGGCGCTCCTCCTGTCTTTCGCAAAAAGTGCCGGGAGCACTATCAAAACTTCTAAATGGCGTCCAGTTCTAAGTCTACTTTTATTAGTGATGATGATATTGCTAAATATGTCAATGTAGTAAAGGTTTCCTTAAGTTTTTGGAATACGTAACAACTCCACCTTACGATTCATAATTTTTTTCCTAAACTGCTGTAAAATCAAAAATGCCTTGGCAATTTTAGCGTAGTTCCTAGGATATTGGTTGGCACTCAAAGGGTTAAAAATTAGGCCAGACAGCAGACTCCAAAGTGAGACTGACTGAATTAAAATCCTAGCTATGGACCTCAGGCAAGTTACTTAACTTCCTAGGCCATGGTTTTCTCATATGTAAACTGGGGATAGAAACAGCTGTTGTGGGATCTAAAAGAGCCAAAAATTATAAATTGCTAAAAAAAGGCCATACACACAATAAGAACAGCATGTCAGCTATCACCAGTATTATTATTATTAGTGGCCCGATGCACGAAATCCATGGACATTAAAAGGGAATTAATTAGAGGAAATACTTTAATATTGCTATTTTGTTTCCATCTCTCCATCCCAGTATCTCCCAGTCTCTGCCTTTGTTTTTCTCAACAGTCCTCCAGGCCTCCCTGCCTCCCTCTTCCTTTTTCCTGGCTGGGAAGGGGTGGGGCCAGTGGGGGCAGCTCCACCCTCTGCCCTT